TATTCTGTCATGCAACGCTGTACTGAAATTTTATATTATTTTTTGGGGACAGATAGAGCTTTCTTTTGGTGGTATTTAATCACCACTACGGTTTTTTTTAATTTTTACTATAGTAAAACAAACGGTTTCCCCTATATTAAATTATCAAAGATTATTACCCAATTTGTGGTAAAATATAAAAGACGGGGTCACGTCAGATAAATAAGACACCAAACCTTAAAATTGTGTGTGCCCGCAAAACAAAATTGGCCACAGGATGGGGGGGGGGGGGACTTAAAAATTTGGGGGTTTTTTTTATGAGACTTTTTTCTTCTACATTTTTTTTTTATACAATTGATGTTATTGCTATCACATAGGGGCAAACAATCCCCCTATGTGATAGCACAGGCACACTGACAGGTCCTCTTTAGGGAGACATTCACCAGCTTCTTCTCTGCCTGTAGCAGCCAGAGAACTGACAGCTGAATGGGGAAGTGATGTAATACACATCACTTCTGCATTCAGATGTCAGAGGAGATAAGCCAGGAGGAAGATGCTGATCTCCCTCACGTCTCCTGCTGACACCTGCCCAAGCCGGTCCTGGGACCACAGAGGAGACCGGGATGTAAGAGGTGGGTAATTGGCGGCGCTGCAGGAGTGAAGACGCACAGTGCAGGGCAGCACACACAAGCGATCGGACGGCTGTAGAGCTGCCGATTGTTTGTATATGTAACAGCCGTTACCGGCTGTTTACATCTTGCAGGTTTTTTTTCTGCTTGAGGGCTCATGCGAGCAGAAAAAAGAAAGCATTATATTTACGGCGCTCTGCTGATAGGAGCTTGCTGTCCATCTGTTTTTTTACAACGAGCGGGCCGACAAGTGGTTGAATAAATATTCACTGATAAAAGTTAAAATTAGAAAGTAAAATCAATGTTTGGATTGTGGAATAATCATGTATTTATGTTAGATTAGTCAGCCATAGTCTCCCACAGGAAGCACAATAGCGAAACCCGTCAGGACAAACTCCTTGAAACGCCAGCCAGTGAGAAAGACAATATTGATGGATCATAAGGAGTTGTGAAGACGAATAAAGGATTTATACTTGGTCTCATAATGGGTATATGTATGTAATATGGCTGCGCAACCAGGGCATAGGCTATATCTTGTTTTTAATATGCCTGTTCATTTTAAAGCTATTTCTACTTCACAATAAAAAATAGTTTTTTTACTAATATTCATGCAATGGGTATGACCCTCTTTATGCCCCATATTCTATTTGATGTGGTGCGGTTTGTACATATGTTATTACTGTAATGTAACGTTTACCTTGCAAGGCACCTATCAGTAACTTGTAAAGTCTGCATGAATACATCCCGGAAATGTCAATACATCACATACATATCAAAACACACGATTGGTATCATTTAAAAAGGATGCTCAGTTCTTTAGCCTTTCCTTTCGCTGAGATCACTCGAGTGCTGTGTTCTGAAACCAGAAGCAGCAGGGGGCTAGTCTGTGTGAATTCTACCACTAGCAGTCAAGGCTGCAAGCCCACAGGAATTAAAGTACATGCACCCAGGTGGGTTTGGAGCCAATTTCTAAATGCACCAGGAAGCATGTAGTGCTTTGTTTAGGCTGAATGCACATCTAGACGCTCAACAGCATCCAGGTGCATTCAGTCTTTCTGTGTTTACTCAAAACAATAGTTTTCTGTGGTCCTGGACTTATAAGCCGGCTTTCAAGTGGTTAAACATGTATGAAATGGCTAAGCCAGGAGTAGGCAAACTTGGCATTCCAGCTGAGTCGAGACTACAAACTTTATCATGCCTCTGGGAGTCATGCCTGTCTTTGGAGTGCCGAGGTTGCCCACCACTGGGCTATGCCTTGGAACATCTAAACATGAGAAAAAGTGATCTGGGACAAAGATAAACTTATCTGCTGGAGGTCCATGTGCATGGACTGAAGAGGCTGAAGCAGCTGGGTTATGATGAGATTTTTTTTACACTAAAAATAGTCAGACTGAAAGTTAGTATCAGCAGCAGCCAACAACGTAAAAGCTACTGAACAGACTCCAGGATGGATACATCTGTTCTTTGCCGTCAGGAGCAGATGCCGACTCTAGACGACACCTGATCTCCATACTTCCAGGGCAGTTACTCGGAAAGCAATAAAGCCATTGGTTTAGTAGGACAGCCACGAAATTAACATTTCAAATAAAAACCAGAGGTCAGCAATGGCAGCCTACATCAACATGTCGGCACAGGTTTACCAATAAGTAAAATAAATGACACCTAGCCAACTTAGAGAACTATGGGGCAACCTTTTTATCCCATAGTTCTCCCTCAAGGAAGGACATATACTAACCTCCTCCCGTGACCCAAAACTCAGTATATATATATCAAACTATTGCCCGCGATATACAGAGCGCCGCAGCCGGGACGGATTCCGACAATACTGTCGAGATACACCCAGCTGCGTGAGTGACAAGTTGGCTCTGCCTAGCTACAGGTGAAACTCGAATAATTAGAATATCATGCAAAAGTAATTGCAGTAAGTGCTGCAAAAGGGGCCCAAACCAAGTACTGAGTACATATGCATGCTTGTACTTTTCAGAGGTCCGATATTGTTCTATGTACAATCCTTGTTTTACTGATTGCATGTAATAATCTACTTTTTTGAGGTTGTGGATTTGGGGTTCTTGGGGTTTTCATGAGCTGTAAGCCATAATCATCACAATTATGACAAATCACGGCTTGAACTATCTTGCTTTGCATGTAATGAGTCTATCTCATATATTAGTTTCACATTTTAAGTTGCATTAGTGAAATAAATGAACTTTGCACGATATTCTAATTATTCGAGTTTCACCTGTAGATCCAGAGTCAGCTGTGCCCGCCCGTTCCTCTAGTCAGCGTTGGAGGATCGGAGGGGGGAATCCCTGCGGGGAGCAGTGACTGATTGTCACCGCTCTCTGCAGAATATGATGATCGAGAAGTGAGCGAGCGACGGTATGCGTTCGTTCACTTCCCGATCTATAGAGCCGGCGTGACAGCTTCATTGTCACACATCGGCTCGAACTATGAGGATTTTCACTCACCTCATAGTACTTGTATAAAAAGTGAACAAGCTCTAACATGATTGTACTGCATACATAAATATGTAGAGTCTCCCTGCAGTATTTGATAGCACATTTTCACCATGCACAATAATCCCAATTGCACTTTTTTTTTTGCAAGAAATAGAAAAGAGAATGTTTAAAGGGAATGTATAGCATGTCACTGTTCTAAAGCCTTCCACTAAACCACCACAAATAAACTTTCTTTATGAAATGGACATCAATAGGAATAAAGCGTTACGGTTTATAGCAGACACAGTCTATACTAAAGAAATGACACGGTGAAGGATTGGGAATCATCAGTTTCTGGATGCCGGTTAGAACACATCTGAAAACCAGCCTCACCTTTTATTAAAGTGATACTCCAGGCAGATGGAAAAAAGAAGGGAGGGATTTATCCAATCAGCTTCTCTCTTTAGTTTGTTCAGTCAAGATTTGAAAATGAAAGAGAAGCCGATTGGTTGCCGTGCACAGCTGTTCCAGATTTGATAAATTCCCCTCACTGCCTTTATGA